ACACACACACACACACACACACACACACACACACACACACACACACAGGCTGCGGGGTTTTAGGGACCAGCTGCCAGTCATCTGTCCCACTGGCTGGACGTAGGAGCTGGGAGTGACGATCATGGTGTCTGTTTACAAAACAGCCGAAGGCCGGCGCCTCTCCCGTCATGCGGGGGGGGGCCTCTGTCACTCCTCCCAGTTTGTTGACCGGCGGGATTTGAAGTCGGGATTAGTCTGGTCAGAGGGAGGAGAAATGGAGGTAGGACTGCGTTTGGGTTGTTTTGGTTTCGTGTTTCGTGGTTTTATTTGTACATGTAGTTGCTAAAGACCTGTTTTTCTTATGCATTAAAGTCTTTTTTAGGTCTTTTTACTGGGAAAGGTGATAGGAACAGGTGATGTAATCCTTAAAATCAGAGTAAAGGTGTCAGGCAGTGCCTGAAGTTTGTGTGAAGTGACAGTTTTTATGGTTATTTTGGCTCCGGACGCTGATACCCTCATCGGGAAGCCGATGTCCCCGCATGTTCGCACAGTTTAGAAACACAGTCCTCATATAATGTATGTTTGCCAGACTCATGGGCTCAGCTGTTGTCATTGTTCATTACCTCCTAAAAATATATACGTTGCCTTCTTTCTTTAACAAGCAGAGCTCGGAGTTCAGCTGGTTGGATTCCGCTGATCTTTGTTACAGGCCGATCGTTAGTGGTGTGGACAGAACTGATTGAGTCAATCAATCAATCACTCAATCAAAATGTATTTATATAGCACTTTACAACAAGCAGCAGGCATCCAAAGTGCTTAAAAGTAGTAAAATCCCAACATACAACAGAAAGAATGAACATTAGAAAACAGTAAAATCAGAAAGGTCACAAAGAAACAAAAGAATGAAACTTGTCACAACACTGCTACGTATTAAAGCCAGACTGAACAGATGTATTTGGAATTTGGACCTAAAAAGAGTGATATCTGTAACAGAATATCTGGGGGTACCTTCTTCCAGAGTCTCGGGGCCTGATCACCCACCGTTTATACCCTGACCTTAAGACTTCTAAAACCAGCTGAGAGACCATTTAAAGATTTAAAAACAAAAAATAAAATCTTAAAATCTATTCTAAGTTGAAGGCTCACGCTTTCCACGAGTTGAATGCGTGAGACGGAGGTCTGATTCAGACCAACATGGAGACCAGTACAATAGTCCAGCCTTGAACCAATAAAAGCATGAATGGCCTTTTCTAGGTGGTGCCTGCTCAGAAAAGGCTTAACTTTAGCCAACAGACGAAGCTGGAAAAGGCTCATTTGAACAACAGCACTGCTCTGTTGATCAAATTTAATGCTGCAATCAAAAGTAAACCCCAAGTTTTTGACAGCCGGTCTAGTGTAAGATGCCAGAGTTGACTGAGTGGTTTGTCTAGCACTCCAGTCACAGATTGCAACAATCAGTTAAATGGAGTGAGAGGAAGAACGATCTAGGTCAGCAGCTGGAGGTCGAACAACTCGATTTAGCTCCGGTTGCTATAGATTTTCCACTTATTCACAGCAGAAAAAACACACACGGCTTGTCCAACTTTAAACACTGGGTTTATTTCTGGAACTGCATGTCACGAATACTGACGTTTAGAGAGATAGCGCTGATCATTTGTTGGTTTTTTGGGTTATAAAAAGAGAAATGTAGGAGCATAACTCAGCAGGGGAGAATGGATCCGAGCTGAAGCGTCTAAATGAGAGGGAATGATGGACAAGTGGAGGAGAAGTGACCCACGTCCGATAATAATCAGGCCAAATGTCTTTCTATTAGTTTTTTTACTTTACTCAGACACAAAATTATTTCAGCATTTATCTTGTAGTAGTCAGTTTTACCCACCCACAGGAAAGAGGCTTGTAAATCCATCTAAAAAAAGAACAATTATTTCAATAACTGATGGCATGATAAACACCTGTTCTCTTTAAGGCATTTGATTTTGGACATGGTGGCATAATGTGACCACCATTAGCTGACCTGGTCACATAAGAATGAACCTGATCACATCTAAGTATTTGGTTATAAAAGAAAACATATCATGTTCACTAAATGTGAATCCACATTCAGTGAAAGTGAATAAACAGTGATACATTATAGTGTTATTAGGTATATATTATAGTGTTATTAGGTATATATTATAGTGTTATAAGGTATAAATCATAAAGTTATTAGGTGTTTGTGAAAACTCTTGGACATTAAAGCTAAAAATATAGTGCACATTTAAATCAAAACACTGTTTGTGACTGATTAGTTTCCTTCTGGTGCAGCCTGTAAGCCGGCCATGTCTCCATGTCTCCATGCCTCCGTCCTCAGGTGATGCAGGTGGTGAGGGAGCAGATCACCAGGACGCTGTCCAGCAAGCCCACGTCTCTGGAGCTCTTCAAGAACAAAGTCAACGCTCTCAACTACAGCGAGATCCTCAAGCTGCGGCAGACGGAGCGCCTGCACCAGGAGGAGACGCTCGCCCCCCCCGTGCTGTGAGTGTCCACAGTCTGCTCCGTGTGGGCCTCAGAGAAAGCTGGTCCTCGGGTCAGGACACAGTGAAAGTCATCCGGGGTCGGAAATACGAACACACACTCAGATAAAACATGTTACAGACAACAGCAGGCGGCTCAGTCTGCAGTCCGTGGTTACTCACAAGTGGGAAAACATTTAAGACAGCATTAACCATCCCAACATCATCATCCCGCAATATGTTGTGGATTAGTTAGACAGGCAGACTAGTGCTTTATGTCCCTCTCTGCCATTATAGTTTTTCACAATGGCAGAACGCCATGGAAACCTCCATGGACTTACCCGTCCTGTGTATATACAGATAGGAATTTCTTCCTTATGAGGAGAAGTCAGATAATTGCAGAGGTTATTTTACACCAAATGAGGACCCATTTAGAAATGAAGACAATGGTTTTTGCTAAGAAACTATTTGGAATACTACACAATGTCTGCAAAGACTTAAGGAACAAAGTCCTTTGTACAGCGCAGGTGTTTGCTCAGAATGCACAGCGATGCAAACACAGCATTTCAGTACGGTGGTGGAGGCATGATGATCTGAGCTGGTTCTGCACCATCTGGGTCTGGGAGTCCACCATGAACTATTCAGTCAGAAGTGAGGCTGAAACTGGACCACCAACAGGACAAAGACCCTAAACCCAGCAGCAGATCCACAACTGAGTCTGAAAAAGAAAAGAATCAGGTTTCCTTCTCCAAAGTGGAGGCTGACACCACCTGATGAAGCATTTCGGAGGCGTTTTCTGTTGTTTACGTGTGCGTTTGCTTTCCAGAGAGCTCAAAGAGCGCCTGAAGCCGGAGCTGCTGGAGCTGATCCGCCAGCAGAGACTAAACCGGCTGTGTCAGGGAACCATGTTCCGAAAAATCAGCAGCCGGCGCAGACAGGGTGAGCACACACAAACACGCACACGCACACACACACACACAGGGTCAGCAGACCGGGCTGTTTGACGCCTTTGTTTCCCCCCTCAGATAAATTGTGGTACTGCCGCCTGTCCCCCAATCACAAGATGCTTCACTATGACGACGTGGAGGAGGACATAGAAAATCCACCAATAGAAACACTGCAAAAGAAGAGTGAGTCAAAGCCGGATAGACGGGAAGTTTTTAAGGTTTCTGACTGCCCCAAGGTGTCCTTGTGACAATAACAAACCGAAAAGCGTTTTTACTGGCACTTATTGGTGAACAGAGGTAGAGGTGGAGACTGAGATACTGGACGTACCCCAACTTACTCTAACTTTCACTACATAAACTTTAAACTAACTTGTCTTTTTATTTCATTTATATTTAAAACATTTTTTATATATTTATTATATATATATTTTTTTTTTCCCTATGACTTCAACGTCATATGTTGGAAATTTACTTCGGGTGTCGAGTCAAATATTTGATCGGATTTCACTTCGGATGTTGGAAAATTTGAATGTTTAGGGAATCGTAAGTAGAGCTTCTGCTGTATATTTTGAAGATGAATGTGATCCATTCATTTAAATAACTGAAATTTAAACAAATGCGTTTGGAATGTAGCCTCTGAAAAGTTTCCATTGTCTTTGGAAAAACGAATGAAGTCAGGACAGATCTGAAGATATTTGTGTCTGTCAAAACGAAGCTATGATGCTTCCAAATATGCCCTACAAAGAGCTCATTTGATACACGTTAAGGTTCTTAAATACAACCCTCAGTGGGCAACACACATCAGCAAACACCTGATGCGTCTGCTGTTCCCTCTGCAGTTCCAGTGGCCGACATCAAAGCTCTGCTGACGGGGAAAGACTGCCCTCACATGAAGGAGAACAAAGGCAAACAGAGTAAGGTCAGCTGAGCTCTTTCTCTTTGCCACGTTGTTCCTCCTCCCGCCTGGCGGGACACATGGAGAGTCTCACTGTGCCTTCCTGCTGCAGGACGTGCTGGATCTGGCCTTCAGCATCACCTATGACGTGGAGGAGTACAGCCTGAACTTCATCGCCCCCTCCAGGACGGACGTGAGTCAGCCTTTCAAAGCTTCTTTAACTCGGGCCTTTCCGGCCGGGTGGCCCTCACTGCGGTCTCTGCTTTTGCCCCGTCGGTCAGTTCTGCCTGTGGACGGACGGACTGAGCGTGCTCCTGGGCCGGGAGATGAGCAGCGAGTCCATGCGCAGCGAGCTGGAGATCCTCCTCTCCATGGAGATCAAGCTCCGCCTCCTGGACCTGGAGAACGTGGCCATTCCGGACAGCGCGCCCGCCATCCCCAAACCTCCCAGCAGCTACAACTTCTGCTACGACTTCAGCCAGACGGAGCAGTAGGCTCGGAGGAGGCTGCCAGTGTGGAGACGGTTCGACCGTCTGCGTATGCGAGTGTGTGTGGGGGTCCAACCTGTGCGTCCACTTAGTTTCTGGATTTCCTTTCTCTAAACTTTGACATCAGAGTGTCAAAGCAGAAGAAATCAGGTGAAAAGTTATGGAAAACTTTAGCACTGGGCGGATAATCAGCCCATTTGTGCTGGTTTTCAGCGGTCGGGACGCTCGACAGGATCCCGAAAGATGAATTTTTTCCAGAGCGTAGTACACAACCACTTGATAATGGTACTTTAAATTTATTATGTAATCATTTTATATTGTTAAATGTATCTAAATCTTTTATAATGAAGAATATTCCCCTGTATGTTGGTAAGTTTCCCACTGGGCATTCATTAAATCCAGCACTAACTATAAGGCACGTGATTCACGTGCAGCATATGAAAGAAAAGCAGTATTTTCCAGTGTCTCCATGGATACGTGGAGCTTCCCGCTCAGTAATAATGAACGGACAAACTTTCTGTTTGACTGCATTCGGTACAAATCTGGAGGGTTTGGTTCTGGTAGAACAGGCCGGAGCCACTATCAAATTTTTTATTGTGATCAAGATGCCACAAACGGGTTTTTTTCTTTTTAGCTCAAATACTGATGCTTTTCGTTAGGGGTTCTCTCTATAATGTGACAGAGGAGGACCGACCAGTCGAAGCAGGCCAATGTTTTGGCCTTTTTTGGGCACCGGGTTGTTTCATTTCATCACAATCACCACTGTCTTTCTTTTCCCAGACACACAAACGTCTGTAGTGACTCTGCATCATGTGTTCGGCGTGACTTCACACCAATAAACTGTTTGATTTGTACTGCGGCCAAAGACTCGAGCGCCTGTTTCCTCACAGTAGCCCCACTCTGCTTAGAAAAGTCACATCTTTTATAGTTTATTCCTCATCTTTGTGGCTTATCGAGTGCATCGAGCAGCATTTCATCAGAATGGAGATTATTCCACGATCCACATTCAGAAAAAAACAAATATAAATATCATGATTTCTCATAAGTTTCCACATATTTTACTTATGAAAAACTTTTTTTTTTTTACATTTTGCCCACAGTTTGTGGGGTGACGCTCCCTTTTTTTGCAGTCCAATTCCCTTCATTTGTAAGAAGGCATCACATTTACTACAGAGATAACACTCTTAATCAAAAACCCGAACAATACATACATCTCTTGAGAGGCTCTGCAGAATAAACATGAAGCCATTTTTCAACCTCAACTTTTTAAGTTATGTTGGAAGCTTTTGGCCTAATTCCAGTTCCTGACTTAAAAGTTTTAATGATCTTAATTTGCCCCCGTTAAAAGATTAAATTACACACATATGAAAGGATACTGTTTAAAATGTACAAAAACAAATTCCTCAATAACAAATAGAAATCATTTTTCCTCTTCAGCTGAACTCTGTACCCCTAAAAGACTGATTTGGGAATCCTGGGGAAACTCACCCAGCTCTCAGGGCTGATCTTGAATTTGATGGCAGCAACAAGTTTCAACAGCAGAAGTCTGGAAAAGCAACCGGTGCTGAAAAGAAACTGCTGGATGAGCTAGTCGCAGCAAATCAGATTAAATTGGCACCGATTCAGAGTTTAAAAAAAGGCAACATCTGTGGTGGATGGAGGCTGCTCTCAGTCCGGTAACCATCCACAAATGCAGCTAACAGCTGCTGTTTAAACATGGAGCCTGATTACAACCAGAGGCAGCATCCAGCTTCTTGCCAGAGCTCAAACATCTGTGTTAGCCATTGGATGAAGCAGCACTGAGCACATCTGGAAAAGCTCCATCCATGCTGAAAGATACTAAAATGTTTGAGATGGGAGTTTGTTTTGTTTTGTTTT